GAGGTGGAGTCTTGCTCTGTTGCCCACGCTGGAGTACAGTGGTGCGATCTTGGCTCACTGCAACCTCTGTCTCCTGGGCTCAAGCGATTCTCCTGCCTCAGCCTCCTGAGTATCGAGGACTACACGAGAACATCACCATGGCCAGCTAATTTTTTGCATTTTTAGTAGAGATGGGGTTTCACCATGTTGGCCAGGCTGGTCTCAAACTCCTGACCTCAGGTGATCTGCCTGCCTTGGCCTCCCAAATTGCTGGGATTACAGGCATAAACCACCATGCCCAGCCTGGAAATGGCATATTTTAAAGGATGAGAGATAAATAGAAAAATAATGGCTGCACTGTAAGATTTACAAAATATTCTTTACTTGATTGAAGTAAGAAATCTTATAACTTTAGTTTTTGAGGGTTTTTTTGAGATCTTATAACTTTAATGTTAAGTTGGAGAAAATAGAATGACTATGAGAAAGAAAAGTAGCTCAGAGCAGTCTGGAAAATGTGAGGTATGTAAAATTTATTAGACCCAGAGTGACAGGGTCTAAGACATAACTCACATTCTCCCACCCATGTCTAGGGTTAATTGTTTAAAGCCATTTTCGTTTTTTCTTTCTTTCCCTGTAGTTTCCAGACTAGCTGACAAATTACCAAAAATGTTTGAGTTTTGTTTGTTTTTTTCTTTTCTTTTTTATTTTTGAGACAGGGTCTCACACTGTTGCCCAGGCTGGAGTGCAGTGGCACAATCTCGACTCGCTGCAACCTCTGCCTCCTGGGTTCAAGCAATTCTCTGCCTCAGCCACCTGAGTAGCTGGGATTATAGGCACAGGCCACCACGCCTGACTAATTTTTGTATTTTTAGTAGAGACAGTGTTTCACTATCTTGGCCAGGCTGGTCTTGAACTCCTGACCTTGTGATCCACCCACCTTGGCCTCCCAAAGTGCTAGGGTTACAGGTATGAGCTATTGCGCCCGGCCTTGTTTTTTTTTTTTTTTTTGATGAAGTCTAGCTGCAATGCCCAGGCTGGAGTACAATGGTGCAATCTCAACTCACTGCAACCTCTGCTTCCCAGGTTCAAGTGATTCACCTGCCTTAGCTTCCTGAATAGATGGGACTACACGTGGACACCACTATGCCTGGCTAATTTTTGTATTTTTAGTAGAGACGGGGTTTCATCATATTGGCCAGGCTGGTCTTGAACTCCTGACCTCAAGTGATCCTACCACCTCAGCCTCCCAAAATGCTAGGATTACAGGTCTTAGCCACAGTGCCTGTCCCAAATTACCTAAAATGTTACCACAAGTTGCACAATGTACTCTCATTCATTATCTTCATGTTCCTGGAATTTCTGATACAAAGAGCAACATATAGCCAATAAATAGCTTACATTATTTTAATAAACCAATGTAAATTCTTGGTAAGCAACTTAAGAACTGCTCCTTCTCTTTTCCTTTAAAAACCCACTTAAGGTGAGGTTTGGTGGCTCTTCCCTGTAATCCCAGCACTTTGAGAGGCTGAGGTGGGTAGACTGCTTGAGCCCAGGGGTTCAAGACCAGCCCGGGCAATATGGCGAAACCTTGACTCTACAAAAAATACAAAAATTAGCCAGGAGTGGCAGTGTGAGCCTGTAGTCCCAGCTACTTAGGAGGCTGAGGAGGGAGGATTGCTTGAGCCCGGCAGGTCAAGGCTGCAGTGGGCTATGATCATGCCACTGCACTCCAGCTTGGACGACAGCAAAACACTGTCTCAATAAAAACCCAAAAAACAAAACAAAACCAATTATAACTGCTTCTAGTTGGAGCATATATTCAAGGAAACTTAAATCTATGTCTTCAGGGTTGCAGTTCTCAAACTTGGCTCAAAGAAACTTTCCACTGCGAAAATAAGTAACTCTGGTTACACAATGGCTCATGCCTGTAATCCCAGCATTTTGAGAGGCTGAATTGGGAGGATTGCTTGAGCTCAGGAGTTCAAGACTAGCCTGGGCAACAGGGTGAAAACCAGTCTCTACAAATAATTTTAAAAATTAGGTGGTTATGGTGGCTCACATCTGAGATCCCAACTACTGGGGAGGTTGAGGTAGGAGGATCACTTGATCTCACAGAGGCTGTAGTGAGCTGAGATCATGCCACTACAATTCAGCCTGGGCAATGGAGAAAGGCCTTGTCTCAATGTTTTAAAAAAAGAAAAAGAAAATAACTCCAAATATGAATTGTTGGAACTTTAAAATAGTCTCAGCCAAGGAATGTGGTTACAACGCTTGAGTCATAAAAACAGGCAGCTATAACCTAGGCAGCTGTAACCTTTGTTTCTCTGATTATAGATTAGACTTATTCTTTACCTACATGGTTTTGTAAAATGTTGTAAATAACTAAAGAGCTCTAGGGGAAGATTATTTATTTATTTATTTTATTTTTGAGACAGGATCTCGCTTTGTCACTCAGGCTGGAGTGCAGTGGTGCAATCTCGGCTCATTGTAACCTCTGCCTCCCAGAGGGAGTCTATCCCAGCCCTTCTTCATGGAGCTCACCTGGGCCTCACCCCGCCTCATCTCCACATTTCTACTGAGTATAAAGAGATACCCCGCTTATTTGTCTGACTTTGGAATCTTCACTTCTGGCCTACAGCCATCCTGGGTTCTGCCCCCTTTTGTACAAGCCTTTTTCTTCTTAGGAAAATGATCAGGTTCTGCCCATAAAAGTATCCAACCTGAAAAGGAGGTGAAGAGAGAGTGCCTCATGGAAAATTGTAAAAACACATTTCTTTGTATTCAAATACTTCCAGGACCTCACTTTGGCAGCAAACCTACTCTGGGTTAGACTCCAGCATCCTTAGCCTTTTTGTGCCATGGACCTCTTTGGTATCTGAGGAAGCCTATGGACTTCTCAGAATAGATTTTTTAAGTGCACAAAATAAAATACAGAGAGCAATGAAATAAATTACAGTATATCAAAAATTTATGGAAAT